GAAGGAAGGAAGGAAGGAAGGAAGGAAGGAAGGAAGGAAGGAAGGAAGGAAGGAAGGAAAGAAGGAAGGAAGGAGAGTGGAGGAAAGGAAAGATAAAAGGAGAAAGGAAAGGCATGCATTATAACATACATTACAATATTTTTGTTAAATAAAGACATTTAATGTATTTAATGTTTCCCCTTAATAAACAAATGGATTTGCTCAGTATTTCTTGCAGAGGGGGAGTTATAATGGGCCCCAAAATAGCACCCATGAATGTACACATACCCAGAAAGACAGAGGCAAGTGTATTAATCCATAACTAACAATAAAGATGCATCGTGATCTATATATTAATGTGTAAAAGCAAAACATTGAGGTTGTTGGAGTGTGTTTGTCTTGTACTGTGCTAAGAACAGTTGGAAGTCAATGCCCCCTTTTCTTTCTTTTTCTCTTTCTCTTTCTTTTTCAACCTCCTTTCCCCACTCTTCTTCCTTCCCTTAATTTCCTATTTTTTCTTCTCTTCTTTGTATTTTGCATAATAAAATAAAACCTTGATAAAAGATGCATTGTGATCACTGCAATAAACGTAGGGACACAGCTGAAATGTTCCACTTATCTTCCCCTTAATGGCAATTTGCTTCTTCCACAACCTCAGATCAATACGGTGTAATATATAATGCACCGCTCTCAAGTAAGCAGGAGCTAATGAAACAAACGAAGCAGATTGGAAATACACAGTATTGTCGGCCGTGACGGAACTAAGAAGGCCGCCTATTGTGGTAGCTCCTCCAATTTGGTGTCCTCCATCCATCTGTAACTGCAGCACATCCATCGTCATTCAATGACCCCATAATCCCTTGTGGCGTGGAGTCTGGGCAACTGAATGGAGCTAGCAGAGCGTTGAATGGCCAGATGCCCTTCCTATCGCCAATGAGGAGCTTTGTTCAGCAGATATATTCTCATTGTGCCCATAGAGAGAAATATCAACAGCAGCACACTGACGAAGACTTTATAAGTGGAGTAATTTCCATGGGGTCGCTGTAGTTTTATCACCATATCCTTTGCCATTCAAGAAATGGATTGGAGCTATTTGTTTCAGAGCAAAGTAAATACATTGATGGATTTTGCCTCTCAAGTTTTTTTGGCAAATGTCGAGGTTTCGTTGCAACTATAAATGCATCAGGCAGCACAGCTTAACAAATCATCTTTTTGGCAGATTTTAAAACTCATTTTCATCTACACCCAAGTGCCTGAAGGGAAAACATTCTCGTTGTTTCCTTCCAACTCGGAGGTACGACTTTTAATTCTCTCTTTTCGCTTAGCTGGTCCCTGTTTCAAGAATCGCATATAATTCGAAGGCCAGGTAAGATGGTTTAGGTGGTTGGGGATTCTTTGGTGGTAGGAATCAGGGCTGTCCTGGGATCTTTGCATGATGGCTGCATACCTGAGCAATCTTTTTGTGTCTTCTGCTGCATTCCATGTATCAGGAAGCATAGATCTTAATGTAAATCTTAGCTCACAGTGCGGAATAATACATTTTTTTTTACAGTTGATTGAGTTTGCTTGCTAAAGTTGTGGACATCTACACGGTGCTGGGCTAAAAAAGAAAAGGGGAAAGGGGAAGAAAGGAAGGGGTGTGGAGGAAAGAAAGGAAAGGGAGAGGGAGGGAGGAAAAGTGGGAAGGAAGGGAGGAAAGGAAGGAAGGAAGAATGGAAGGAAGGGAGTGTGGAAGAAAGGAAAGGGGGAGGGATGAAATGGAAGGAAGGAAAACTGGGAAGGAAGGGGAAGGAGGGGGAGGAAAAGTGGGAAGGAAGGGGGAGGAAGGAGTGTGGAGGAAAGGAAAGGAAAGGGAGAGGGAGGGAGGAAAAATGGAAGGAAGGGAGGAAAGGAAGGAAGCAGGAAGGATGGAAGGAAGGGAGTGTGGAAGGAAGGAAAGGGGAGGGATGGAAAGTTAGGGAGGAAAAGTGGGAAGGAAGGAAGGAAGGAAGGGCAAGGAGAGGGAGGAAAAGTGGGGAAGGAAGGGAAGAAAGGAGTGTAGAGGAAAGAAAGGAAAGAAAGAAAGGAGAGAGAGGGAGGGAGGAAAAGTGGGAAGGTAGGTAGGAAAGAAGGAAGGAAGCAGGAAGGATAGAAGGAAAGGAGTGTGGAGGAAAGGAAAGGAAAGGAAAGGGGGAAGGATGGAAAGGTAGGGAGGAAAAGTGGGAAGGAAGGAAGGGGAAAGAGAGGGAGGGAAAGCAGTACTAATATTTCATGTGATTTTGATTCTATGGCACTGTTTATATAGCGCAGGATTGTATTTGCTTTTTTGGCTACTGCTGCACACGGCTAGCTCATATTGAAGTGATCATCCCCATATATATCTACATGATGTGGTTTCCATTGGTAACTCTTCTGAATTTTGGTAAGTTCAACAACCTTAGAATATGTCCAAACATATTCCATATCGTTTATTTTTGCTACTCTACTCTACTACCAGTTTATACTATGAATACCTGAGCTCAGGGGTGGGATTCCACCAGTTCGCACCTATTTGCTAGAACCGGTTGTTAACATTCTAAGCAGTTTGGAGAACCGGTTGTTAGAAGAAATTACGGGCCTAATCCTGTCAGGAAGGCAGGAAGGAAACATTCTGGTGTTGCTTACAGAAACTGCCTCTCCTTTAACCCTTATTACATTCTTGGCAGGACTAGACTTCCTGTCTCAGGAACTTCTCTGGAGTTTTTTCCCCTCCTTTGCTGGTGGTACTTTGCTTGTGTGGAGTGACCATTCAAAGTTACAATGGCACTGAAAAAAGTGAGTTATGACCATTTTCCACACTTACGACTGTTGCAGCATTCCCACAGTCATGAGAGGCCAGGCAAAGAGAAGTGTGCCTCAATGTGAGTGATATTGAGTTGTCCACGCCCAGCCAATAACATGACCACCAAGCCACATCCACCCAATCACATGACCACCAAGCCACGCCCACCAACTAAGCCACAACCACAGAACTGGTTGTTAAAAAAATTGAATCCCACCCCTGTCTACTACCAGTTTATACTATGAATACCTGAGCTAGCAAACCTGGTACGAGCCTAGCTGAGATCTAGCCAGATCTACATCTTTCACTACACACCTTCCCTATGCTATGTTGCTTCTCTAACTCATTGTAAGAGTTGAGTTAATCTATGATGACAGAAAAAAATCAGCAGCGTTCTAGCAGCACAACTTCGGACCCACAGATTTTATTAAAAGACATACATTGGATCACAACTCCAAATGCCTGTTCATATTTGTAGGTCTAGGACAGAGTTTTCCAAACTTGGCAACTTTAAGACTTGTGGACTTCAACTCCCAGAATTCTCCAGCCAGCTGGCTGGAGAATTCTGGGAGTTGAAGTCCAC